TGGACTTGGTGGCAGGTGCCTGTAGTCCCAGCTACTTGGGAGGCTGAGGCAGGAGAATGGTGTGAACCCAGGAGGCAGAGCTTGCAGTGAGCCGAGATCGTGCCACTGCACTCCAGCCTGGGTGACAGAGCAAGACTCCGTCTCAAAATAAATAAATAGATTAATTAATTAATTAAAGAAAAATTCCAATTATGATAGCATCAAAAAAGCAAAATATTTAGGAATAAATCTAATGAGTGTAAAACTTGTATACTCTAAACAGGAAACACTGTTGAAAGAAATTAAAGATACGAATAAACAGAAAGACATCCATATTCATAAATCAAAAGACAATATTATCAAAATGGCAATACTCTCCAAACTGATCTACAGAGTCAATGCAATCCCTATCAGAATCTCTGCTGGCTTCTTTGCAGAAATTGACAAGCTGACCCTAAAAATTTATGTGGAAATGCAAGGGACCCAGAAGAGCCAAAACAATCTTGAAAAAGAACAAAGTTGCAAAATTCATACCTCCCAACCTCAAAACTTACTACAAAGCTACAGTGATCAAGACAGTGTGGTACTGGCATAAAGATGTATAGATCAATAGAACAGATTTCAGAGTCCAGAAATAAACTGTCATGTTTATGATTAATAGATTTGCAACAAGAGTGCCAAGACAACTCAAAGGATAAGAAATAATTGTTTTCACAAATGGTGCTGGGTCAAGTGGATACCAACATGTAAAAAAAAATGAAATGAAGCTGGGCACACTGGCTCATGCCTGTAATCCCAGCACTTTGGGAGGCCAAGGCGGGTAGATCATTTGAGATCAGGAATTCGAGACCAGCCTGGCCAACATGGTGAAACCCCGTCTCTACTAAAAATAAAATATTAGCCAGGTGTGGTGGCAGGCACTTGTAATTCCAGCTACTGGGGAGGCTGAGGCATGAGAATAACTCGAACCCAGGAGGCAGAGATTGCAGTGAACCAAGATCACACCACTGCACTCCAGCCTGGGCAATAGAGCAAGACTCAGTCTCAAAAAAAAAAAGAAAAAAGAAAAAAGAAAAAAAAACCCAAAACACAAAAATGAAGTTATATCCCTACCTCACACCATAAAAATCAACTCAAAGTGGATCAGAGAGCTAAATGTAAGAGTTAAAACTATAAAACTCATAGAATAAATCAAAGGCATAAATCTTCATGCTCTCAGATTAGGTAATGGTTTCTTAGATATAACACCAAAAGTACAAACAACAACTATAGTAACAAAATTGACAAATCAGAATTCATCAAAGTTAAAAACTTTTGTGCTTCAGAAGATGTCATCAGAAAAGTGAGGCCAAGCATGGTGGCTCATGCCTGTAATCCCAGCACTTTGGGGGGCCAAGGCTGGAGGATCACTTGAGGCCAGGAGTTTGAGACCAGCCTGGGCAATATAGTGAGACCTTGTCTCTACAGAAAAAAAAAAAAAAAAAAAAATTAGCTGGGTGTGGTGGCATGTGACTGTAGTCCCAGCCACTTAGGAGGCTGAGGTGAGAGGATAGAGAGCTTGAGCCCAGGAGTTGGAGGTTACAGTGACCTATGATCATGTCACTGCTCTGCAGCTTGAGTGACAAAGTGAGACCCTGTGTCTTAAAAAAAAAAGTAAAAGATAACCTATGTGATGAGAGAACATTTTTGCAAATCATATATCTGAAAAGAGACTTGTATGTAGAATATAAGAAATGAAGAACTCTTACAACTCAATAAAAAGACATATAATTCAATTAAAAATTGACAAAGGATCTGAATATACATTTGTCAAAAGAATATATACAAATGGCCAATAAGCACATAAAAAGATACGCAACATAGGCTGGGCATGGTGGCTCACACCTGTAA